TGCCCTGTACCCCCTTTATAACCCTTGAGGAGGGTAAACACTGGATGCTGTATGGAAGAACCTAGCAGTGCCGCCAAACTCAGTGTGAGGAGAAAGTGTCCTAGGAAAGTGCCCGATGCAGATACTTGATGCATATTCACTTTTGGCTGCTATAGATGAAAGCTTTAAAAATTTGGCCAGTGTCACTCAATCATTAGCACAAAGAGAATTTATCCAGAATCCTGCTTGAGGACTCTACTCAGTGAGTGTTTATTTCCAGAAGTATTTTGGGGTTTTGTTTGCTGTGTTGATTTTATATTGCCTATAATGGAAATACAGTCTCATTAGTAAGAGCTAAGGTTTTTTTTCCTTTTGTTGTTGTTGTTTGTTTGTTTGTTTGGTTGGTTTTTGAGACAACCCCAGGGCCTTGCTCGGTTGCCCAGGCTGGCCTTGCACTTCCAATCCTCCTACCTCGGCCTCCCAAGTGCTGAAATCACAGGTGTGTAACACCATGCTTGCAGGAACTGGCTTTTATGGTCCAAATAGCTAGGCCTTCTGATGGCATAATTTTCTGAAATCAATTAGCCTATTTTCCTACTCAATAGTTCTTTACTAAAATGAAAAAGTAGAACAAATTATTAGAGTAGCTAAGAGTCAGTGTGGACAAAATACTGGTCATGAGGTCATGGAAGTCAATGCCCAGCACCAAAAAAGAATTATATGCACATATAAGTAATATATATCTATATATAATATCTATATTATATATAGATATATATTTATAGATAAATTATTATATGATATATTGTATATGATATACTATGTTATGTATTATATATTATTATAATTCATGATATTTTATATATCATAATAGTACATATATATTTGGAAAATATATTTATAAAGCAAGGCTCAAAGGAAGCAAATGTTAAAATACAATAGAGATTGGACTTTTTTGGGGCAATTGCTGGGGATCAAACTCAAGGTCTCATGCATTCTAGACAAGCACTCTATCACTGAGCTGCACCCTAACACTGATTTGGTGCTATCCCTACATTTCTTTATTCATTACCAGTCACTGGATCATGCAACTGTTTCCTCCCCACACAAACCTGAAAGAGCCCACAAACAACCAAGATAAAAGTGATTCGGGCCAGCGACATGGCTGTTTGGGATGGTGGTAGGACCTTGAGGAGTCCCATGTGTCACAGATGCCAAAATGAGTACATTAAGAAAAGTGCCGACATAATCACTCACCATTATTTTAGTTAAAAATACATGATTATACATAGAAATAAGACACAGCCTAGAAGAAACTCCTCAAATAAGCAATACAGTTTTAATTAGTTGAGTAAGGAGACTAATTAATATGCAAATGAGGAGCTTACCAATATTAATCATCTGTTTTACTAGGCTGCTTTTACTAAAGGGTTTCTAACGAGTTTGCAAATTAAGTTTCTTTGACATTAAAAATCAGCTAAATGGCTGTCTGTGAATAATCTCTTCTCACTCAAGGGCAAGAAGGGGGAAAAAATTTTTTTGGATGAAAAACAGCAATGTTGAAAACCAATTCCCGTGCTGGCAGGCACTGTGTATGAGTTCTGTATCAACCCTTTTCCAGCTCTAATTCAAACCGTTTCAGCAAGACAGACCCCAGAAAATAGTTGGAACAGGAACAAATATGAGTCATGGTGATTTAAAGATACATGATCTAGAAAGTTACATCACAAAACTTGCATTGTCAAAATGCCAAAAAGCCTATATATATATATTTTTTTTTTTTTTCTTTTTATGACATTTAACATATCTCTATAGTTCTCTTTTCTTGGAAATGTTGAAATTGGTTTGGATCCTGATTTACTAGGGATTTTTTGAAGTATGGATTACAGATTTTCCTGTGGTCACTTTAGTTTTAAGTTTTTTGTTTTTGTTTTATTTTTTTTAGACAAAATCTCACTCTGTAGCCCAGGCTGGCCTGGAACTCACTGCAATCCTCCTGCCTCAGCCTCCTGAGTGCTGGGATTACAGGTGTGCACTACCACTCATAACTTCAAGATTCATTTTCATTCAGCTTGTGAAAATGTGTGTGGGCATGGATTCCATGGTGTTAACCATTTTAACTTCAATTAACTCCATCCTTGACTCATTTGGTTATTTAATACAAAATATTATAATACACATGTATGCAGTACTTTGAGTTCACTACTTCCAGAAGAATGTCAGAATGGATATTCAGTAGAAGAGAATAAATCAGATACATCTGAACTTCAACATACAGGTGGCTTAAAAATATTTTCTTGCCCATTATATCCCTATGAAGATTCAAAGGAATCTTTGAAATAATACTCTTTTCAATCAGTTTATAACCTGTGTTTTCTCTCAATTATTGTCTTTCCACCTCCCTTCTATTCTATAGCTATCTGGTAAAAGTTATTATAATTCAGGCAAGAAATTCTGTTACTCAGATTTTCCTTGTTTACTCATTAGCTTGTTTAGTGTTTTTTAATGGGGCTGACCCAAAGTCCTGAGCACTTAGCACTGTACCAGGTACTGGTGGAATGCAAGTACTATATATGTACAGAGTTGGCCAAAAAAATGCATACACACTTCAGGAAAAGAAAAATAATAAGTGTCTGAAAATTGATGACCACCACTTTGAGCACCTCTTGTAATTGTAGAGGTTAAAGGTAACTTGCATTAATCTTATGGTGTCTTCAATAAATTTAGTATTAAAATAGCAATATAAGTTTTTCTTTTCCTGAAGTGTGTATGGAGTTTTGGTGGAGTCTGTATTTTGCAGTTTCAAGAGACTTAGTCTACCAAGGAAATAAAACATGTGACTAATAAGCTCACTTTGAAAAGTTATGTGATAAAGCAGTGAGATCTGCTTATCTCATGAGCTTGCTGCAAATTGTTCAGAGCGCCTGCCTCCATCTCTTTCTTAATATGAAAGGTAGTCCTAGTGTGAGGCACTGGAGAACAGGATAGGCTTGTTGATTTATGACTTTTCTTTCCCAGGTGTAAAGTGGCTACTGGTTGGAGAACGCTCTCTTCCTACCTTTTCCTCTTTGGGAGAGACCTTTCTTCAGTCTATGGACGTTTTTACCTGCTGAATGTCAGTGATGATGAACCGATGGCGTTCGCTTAAAGATGTTCAGCCCGGGAGCTCTCTGCTATATTTTTTGGTCTTGTTATAGTCTTTCCTTGTCTGAACCTTATTTCTTTTGGTCAGTGCCTGTGCTAAATGTCATGGCCAGTAGAAAACACTGCTCAGTTCAGAGTCATTGAAATTCATGGCAAAGAGAATGAAAGCCCTTAATCAAAGGCACAAGATAGATTTTTGCAAAGAAATAACGGCCAGAAAATTAATCCAAAGCGCGCTTCAGTTTGGGCTTCTGTACAAGCCCGTCTTGGCGCAGGCCTGGACTCGAGGTTGTGGGAGCTGCAGGAGTGGAAAATGGAAATGGCTTATCCGCACCTGCCCTTTCTCCAGAGACCTGGCTCGTCCTCTTCCGCAACACACCGGGCCAGTTCTCACTCTGAGAAAGAAGGCTCTGGCCACCCCTGTTGTCCACACCCTAGCAGGCTGGCCTCACTGTGGCTTTCCACAGAACCATATGTAATGTTTTACAAATAGCTGTATGATTGGATGCATGATGTATTTCTGTGGCATGTGTGACTTCCGGTCTTTAGCAACACTGTCCAGTAGTACCTTCTCTAGTGACAAGAACGTTTTATAGATCACAGTGTCCAATATAGTAGGTGCTACCCATATGGGGCTACTGAGCACTTAAAATGTGGAACCAAAGTTTTCATTTTACTTATTTTTTATTTAAGTAGTCACATATGGCTAGCAGCTACCATAGCGGCAGCAAATAACTTCATGTATGTATAAATGATCACCCTATGATAATGACACTATTTTCATTTAGGAACATGAACTGATTCTCATAATTTTGGTATAAAAAGAACAAACATAAGTCTGAAGCTTTTGGTTCCCAGTATGCAGAGGGCATCTCAGGGTATGTCACTTTAATACCCAAATATCAATGATGAAAATAAAATAATTTTATCTACAAATTGAATACTCAGATAAACAAATATAGACATGTAAGACTGATCAAACAGTTAAACATTAACTGTTCCTTTCAATAAAGCAATAAAAGTCAGTAGTACAGCTATGTTTGCTATCCTGTGTATACATATATACATATTTTCCCCTTCTTTCTTTTCTCCTTTCCCTCATCCCAGTTGTTCTTTCCTATATGTAATATAACAACCATTGTCAATTTCCTATCACCTTGTCTGAAATTCTGTATTGCTTGTATTGTTTTTGTGTTATTTCCTAAATGTATGTGTGTTTGTTAATGTGTTTTTATTCTTTTATCTTTAAAATAAAAAAAGAAAAGAATTTTAATACTAGATGTTTTACCAGATGATTATTAGGTGATTTGAATGTAAGGAGATAATTACAGTCTCCCTGTCCTCAGGCGGCATGCTTAGGCAAGGGGAAATAATACGTTTAGATAAAAGAAATCAGGAAAAATGTGCACCTGCGTTTTTACTGATGCAAAAATAACGCTTTAACTTCAGTTGTCTAAACTGAATGTGTAAGTCACCACCTACTTTGACTTTTTTCCATTTATTTTCTATCTCTGCAACCCACATGGACAAGTAAGATTCAAGTTGACTAATCTTTAGTATTAGGATCAACATAAACAACCCTCTAATGAAGGTAGGAAATTATGAAACAATAAAGTAAGTATAAATATTATTATTAGTATCCTCTAGAATTAATTTAGAATTCTGTTTTGAAGAGACTACCAAACAACTTAATGGCATATTTACACTGGAGTTAAACTTACCATTATTTGAAAATTACAGAGTCTACTATTGTAAATGATATGTCCTAATAAGAAATAAAAAATCGTGAGTGAGTGGTATATATGAGACTATGCCCAACTAGTACAAAAAAAGCATATAATCCAGAAATTTTATTGTCAGTTTTGTGATACCTGCAGATTTCGCATAGAGGCTGTGTCTGGGAGGAAATGCTGTCACCGTCTGCAACAGAGGTAGAAGCAACAGAGAATGAACCCTCCCGAGACGCTGGCTGTGGACTGCTGCTTCCCTTTGCTGACTGAGTCTGTGCTGATCAGCCAGACGCATACGACTCACTAGAGTTATGTCGCTTTTAAAGCTGTCACCATCAGGGTAATGCCACCTCATGAATATTACTGATTTACACAAGGCTGAAGAATATGGGTTCTGCCAAATTCTAGGGGTGGACCAGAGAGTACCTGCTCCTCTGGTTGCGTTAATATGCCTCTAGGAAAAATTGAGCTGCTTGTTTATACAGCCTGTCGGTGCTTATGAGAATCAAATGAGACCTTAAGAGAGTTAGGCTCTTGTCGTAGAAAGAGCAGTCAGACCATCAGCAACACCTGAATTCTAATCCTGGCACTTTCCCCCATGGCTTTGAGTTTTCGTTTTCTTATGTGCAGAGCAGGTAGGAACAGTTGCTCTGTGTATCTCCCGGAGGGTGTACACATTGCAGGACACACTGGGTGAACACAGTATTTAGTTCCGTTTCTGTTGTAGGCACAGCAATTTCCAGCCACTGGCTTTTAGATGAGATTCATTTACCTTTATCTCATCCCTTTGTCACCAGTTGCACAGTGACACAAAATGATTGGCTGGGATTAGCGGTGTGGTCTCTGAAGGTGAAATTGAGTGCAACAAAAAGAACCATAAAAGGCCCCCAAACCGCGGGCTTGACTTCATTAAACAGGCACAATATTCATCTAGTGATCTACCCTCAGTCAGACGCAGCCTCCTGACCTTTCGCCAGCTTAGTGATGCTGTCAGCAGCTGGGGGCCCTGCCAAAGGGCAGGGGAGGGAGCCCCAGGTTGCCCACATTGAACATTATCTCGGGAATAGCCAAGAGGAACTGTGAAAGAAGACCCTGGCTTGTAATTTTACTTCAAAAAAACCCTCCCAGATAATGAGCATTTTGCCTAATAAGAACTGTAGGACTGATTAGGTTCAAACTGTTAACCAACATCCTTACGGTTAATGAAGCAGTGTTGAAAATGCCTCCTGTTCTTTACAAACTTAAATCATACAAAAGTAAGAAGAAAAGCGGAGCTAATATACTCAAGATGAGGAATACAAAATGTTTGCTCTTTGAAAAGTTAATATTTATTGAGCGTTATCTCAGCAGTGGGCAAGCAATAAACTTTGATAATTATTGTTAAAACATTCTCTTCTTGTGAATTCTGAGTGGGGAACGGAAGCTTCTGCCATTTTAATTCCTTTGTTAATGTCTTTATGAATGCAATTAACACTTCATTCACGCTTCTTTGTTTCTGGATCCCATTAGGATGTGGTTTATGCCAGTTCCTCTCTCCCAGGAGACAGCCCGCATCACACAACATTTCACTCAGCTGTGTGGCTGAACGCTGACAAACTCAATTTGTGGAAAGCAGGCGCGAGTTGACACCATGCTGTGGCAGTTGTCCTGATGGGAGCAAACGACTCATTTCACTCCAAGGTGGGACCCACCTTCTCCGGAAGCATGCTTGTGCACAAGAGTGTAGCGGATAAGGAAGGCAAGCTGACACAAAGTCGAAGAACTCCAGGAGTTGGAGGGAACAGAGGGGGATGGAAGGGGAAGGGGATGAGAAAAAGAATTAAGATGTGTTGTGTGTATGTCCAAACTTCCCCACAATAAATGTAATCATCACATCCTACAGATGTACTGATAAAAAAATTTTTTTAATAATGAGTTTTTAGAAAAGCAGTTGAAGTGCTACCGTGGAAGAAATGCTAAGAACCAAATATGGCCCCGGTCATAAAAAGGAAAGCCATCTGCACATCGCCTGCTAGGCATCACAAGCTGCTGTTATCCTCAGCAAACATTTAGTGAGGGCTAACTGTGTATAAAGTAATGGAGGCACTCAGAAGACAGGGACATAGCCTCTACCCCCTGGAGTTTATAATTTAAATGAGAGGTGGAGATACTCATGACAAATAGATAAGCTAAGGTAGATAGGCCACTAGAGGCTGTGTCCTGAATGAGAGGTGTAGACCAAAAGAATGCTAGGAGTTAGGGTCTTTGTGGTGAGTAATTTGAGGGAAACTGTTCTGGAGAGGTAAGACTTAAATAAAACAGTCCCCCTGCCCATCCTATGATGGAGATGACCAGCTAGGAAGAGGAGGAAGAGCGGAGGAAATGCAAAGAAGCAGGGAAGTGCAAGCATTAACAGAGGTGCAGAGGCATGAAGAATAAAAGGATTTGTGACCATGATAAATTATTTCCCTTTATATTAAAGCCTCTCCTCCAATTGATGGCATCATTTCTATTTCAAATATCAGTGTGATATTTGCTCAACAGCCAAAGGCACTGCAGATGAATATATCTGAATCGTACCAAGATACTGTACAGAAGGAGAGGCAAGAGGGCTGAAGGAAAATCAGAGACAAGGGAGGGAAGACAGATGGAAGGGTGGACAGAAGGAAGGAAGGAAGGGATGGAGGGGTGGAAGGACAGAACACTGCTCATCGTTTGTTGCCGTAAATTTTTTCTTTAAATGAATATAGTTGCTGATAGGCAGGCCTGAACCTGAGCCATAGCTGTTAAATTTGGTTTTCTCCACCAAAGACAAAAAGAGTATGATTTCTAATATATGACATGGAGCATAATATAGTACCAGAAAAGGAAGCAAAGCATGCTATAGCTCCTAGTAATCTGTGTCTAGCATTAGGATGGTGAGAGGAAAACAAGGGCAATATTCCTGTTTTAATTTTTACTTTATTTAATATGATTATTTTCTTCCCTCTGAGTTACTTCAAAAATGTGCCTTTATTTTACTCATCATGTATCTTCTGTGACAGCAATTTTCTCATGTCTCTTTCAACCAGACCGGGGGTGGCAACACGATCACATTCTATTATAATAAAGCCTGGGTGCATATTTTCCCAGTTGACCTGCCCTGAGACCTTACAGCCGTACAGATATGGTCATGCCTGGACAACACCCCTTGCATTAAGAATAGGCTCATTTTGTTTATATTGTGTATGTGGCTGTTTTTTTATGGGGAAAATGGCTTCCTGTGTTACAAGTGATTCTTGAGCAAAGGATAATTAACACTACCATTACCTTTGATCCTAATCAAATTTTTAAGTATTGGTAATTTTGAGGAAGCTATTTCTTTTTCTGAAGCAAACAGTTGTCAATTGTCAGTTGTGTGATCACGGTGTGATTTATAAGAATAACAACTCATGAGAATGATTAAATGAATTCCCAACTATTAAAAAGGGAAAGAAAAAAGGTAATGGTCTGTGTGTATGGAGCAGGCAGGTTCTAAGGTTTAAAAAAACCTTTACGTGTGTGTGTATGTGTGTGTGTGTGTGTGTGTGTGTTTTAAATAGAAAAAATGCCACTCTGCATTCCCTGGCCTCAAGCCACTAGGTAGCTATGTAAAACATAAGCAGAGACTATGGTTTGTTGCCTTTGAGAAAGATGTAAATGTGTAAATATGATAGAAGAGGTTTTATTTTCTTTCCCCCCTCTCAGGAATGGTCTGACAGCCCCAGGCTTGAGAATGTGTCTCTCCCAAGTACTCTGTCACCCTGGTAACCATGGAGACCATGACGATCGATTAGATGCCATCTGATCTCAACCTCATAAAAAAAAAGGCAGCAGATGGCAACCAGGCCACTAGACCTGTCTCAAGAGAGACGAAGAGGAAGGGAAAGGGAAGGAAGGAGGAGAAGGGCGAGGAGGCGGGGGTGGGTTGGTGCAGGGAGAAGAAAGCACAGAAGTGTCTGTGGACACGGAAATGGTAGAAAAGAGTACAAACAGAAGCGAAAAACAAAGCAAGCAGGAATCAAGGAAAGAGGAGACGAAATGGGAAAAATGAAACCAAAACATAAATGTACGATGGACCTCACAGTGAGCTGTGGGAAGAAAATCTGATAATGAAAACCAGTCAACCATCCCCTAACTTTCTTCTTCTACCTAGGTCTCAGTGACAAAGAACACAGAGCCTGAGCTCTGAGGCTTCTCTGAGGGACATTTACAGTTGTGTCCTGTGGATTCTGTGACAGCTGGAATTTGATGTATCTGTAGGAGAATCCGGAGACCTGGCTCTCAAAATGAATGTCCCTGGTTTGGGTGAGACCTTTCAGACAACTGGATGAAGACCTAAGATAGTTGTCACTCCCTCTCCAGAAGTGTTTTAGTCATACCTTAAAGAAAAAAGTGATTACCTGATCTGCTGAGACCCAAAATGAAAAGAAAAGAAGAACAGTTAAATAAGTGCTGGTAGATATGGTGTGTTAACCCACATCCCAGAGTAGTGTCATGCTAACATCTGTGAAGTGCTTATGATGCATAAGACATGGTTTCAAACAAGAGAAAGAAAAGAAAAACCACATATGACCCCATTGGTCTTACAAGCATGGTATGTACCTGGGTTGTACAATATGTAGAATTTTATGGATACACAATGTTTTAACCAAACACAGTACTAAATTTCAAATATCATTTGTTTAACATATGCTTTTAAACATTATGACCACCTTTCCATGTTTTTTATTTATCTGATCTTATTTAATGACACTACAGTATTTGTTTTTTCATAATTTATTTAACTACTTCCTTACTTTTAGACTTTTCCCAGATTTTTGCTATCACAATATAAATAATACCCTAAGAGCCATTCTTATTTGTGAGCCTTTTTATACTCCTCTTTGGCCTTAGTTGAAAACATAATTACTAAACAAACAGTATTGTTTCCTTCAAACTTTTGAATTTAACTATGATATATATATATATATATATATATATATATATACACACACACACAGAAAAATGAATAAATCTTAAGGACACAGCCAATTTGATTATAAATATTATATAATTATAGTTAACATATATGATACATATTTATATATTTATAACCACTACCCAGATCAACATATTAAACACTTTTACTCCAAGCTGCTCCTTCATCTCCTTTTCTACTCAGTAGCTACATTATGTTCTTGAACCTAGTATACATGGAGCTACAGGGTGTGCATTCTTTTGTTTCTGATTTCTCTCACTAGACATAGTGTCTGTCAGATTAGTCTGGCTGTGGTGTATACAAGATGCTCAGTCTTTTCATTTCAGTGTAGTATTCTATTTTTAATATAGAATAATTTATTGATTCATATTATTTTGATACAAATTGGAGCTATTACACATAAAGTTACCATGAATATTCTTGTACATGTCTGCCGTTGTTCCTAGTTTTAAAAATGTAAACCAGGAGAGGAATTACCAAGAAATAGAGTGGCCATGTTTGGTTTTAAATGCAAGGTAAATATTTTTACAGGTTTAGGTCTGCTTTTAAATTGGTCTCCAAAACAGCAAACCAACTTGAACTCCAGCTGTCTAGTCTTAGACCCCTTCCTCCTGACCAACAGCAAATGGGCACACTCATCCTTTTTAATCTTTGCCAAACTAAGAGATGAAATCATACCTGATTATTTACCTTGTGTTGGATAACTGTATATGTTAAACAACTCTTGATATGTCACCAGATATTTTTATTTCTCCTTCTGTAACCTGCATGGACACATGGTTGCCCTATTTGGTATTAGCTTTAGGGAAAAGCAGAAAGATGAAACATAACCCAAATAATCTCTGCAGATTCACTGGTACTATAAGAAAAAAATTGCTGGGACTGATGACCAGAATAAGTTTACATTTGCATAAAATGATATCCTGCTCTATATATTTCAAAAGGAAGCTTATGTATTTATAGAACATCTATTATTGAGCACATTTACTCTTTAAAATAGCCCTAGTCACTTTATTTTTATAGCTTCATTTAATTTCAGAAGTGGTGTTTCATTTTCACAAAAACCTCTAAAAAGACACTATTCTGTCTAATTTTGCAAATTTATAAATCAAAGATTATGCAGTTCATAGTCAACAACTGCTTAAGTATTGTAACAGGGATTTGTCATGGTTTGTGTCTAGGTGTCCACCCAAAGCCTTATGTGCTCATAGGTGGGGCTTTTTTAGGAGTGGCTGGATCTAGAGTGTGTAATTGATCCATGGTGCAATCCTAGGATCAAGGCAGCTAGGATTAAGGGTGTGAATACTATCTGCCCTAAGTAGCCTGGGTAAGATATAAGAGACAGAAAGAGCTACCTTCACCCCACCATGAACTGTTTCTTCTCTGCAGTGCCCCTCTGCCATTCACCCTGCCTTGGAGCCAGCCATTTATGGACTGAAATCTTTACAAACTGTGAGATAAACTTTTCCTCCTTTCACTTTGAGTGTTGGGTGTTCTGTCTCAGCAAGAAAATTAACCAAGACAGGTTTTAAACCCAAGATATTGCAAGTCCAAAGTAAATTGGTTTTCTCTTTCCTTTAAGTAAGAATGCTATGGTCTGAATATCTCTGTCCCCCAAAATTCATATGTTGAAATCCTCACCTCTGAAGCGATACTATTGGGAAGGGGGCCTTTGGGAAGTGACTAACCAGGCTTTGCCCTCATGACTGTGGTTATTGCCTTTATAAAAGCCACCTGAAACCTTCTCTCACTTCTTCTACCACCTGAGAACCCAGAGGAGGCACTAGCATGAACAAGGAAGTGGCTCTCATGAGACACTGATCTGCTACGCTCTTGATCTTGGACTTTCCAGCCTCCTCATTTGTGGTATTTTGTTACTGCAGCCTA